AAGACGCAGAAGACCGTGTAAAGGTGGACAGAGGTTGCGTAGAAGCACCGAGAACGAAAAGCCAGCTCGTTTCTACGCTCTCGACGTATTTTTCAACGCAGGAACGCGTTCCTTTCTACCCTCTAGCAGCCCTCTTCACTCACCCCGTTTACAGCTTTGTACCACGAATTACGAGACTGGTAGTGCTCCTGTATACGACACGTAGTCGTAACGACGAAAGGGGGAAAAACTCGAGTCTTGAAGCTGGTTAACTTTTTTACTACGGTTCTGCGAATTTTCTTCAACCTTCTCCACCTCTATTTCTATAACCTCTCCCTTTCGTTCACCAACCTATTTTTTTTATTTCTCTCTTTTTCTATTTCAATCTAGCTACCTATCTACCTATCTATCTATTTATCTATCCATCTATCTAACTATCTATGTATCTTTTTCTCTTACACATACATTCACACACACACACACACACACACACACACACACACACACACACACGTATACATCTATATGACTTTCCAACACTTCTCTCGCAGAAAATGATTATTCCTCGCTTTACGACCTCCTTCTTGCAGGAGGAAAGCAATGTGTACGGCTTGAGATAGATATAACGTGTATATATATATATATATATATATATATATATATATATATATATACATATATATATATACATATGTACACACATTTTCCTTTCTCTCTCATACTCACTATGCGGTCGCAAGCGTGTTCGTGCGTACAAGTATACACACATAGCGACTGGGTACATTTCCCAGAGGCGCTCTAGTCTCTACGTGAATTGCATTAGGAATTCGGAATATCCGGCGAACTTCCTACGCGCTGATCACTTGAGAATTTCAGCAAAGCCCAGGTACGTCGATTCGAAGGAGCTTACACCATAAATTTTCGTCGTACGTGTGTAACGCCCACTTTGGTAACGCCTTCGTATTAAGGATGCACGTTACGAACGACGAGAGGACGAGAGCTTCGAGGACGACGGGATTCACTGTGTCTTTTGATCCCAAGTTTTTCTTCATCTTCTCCTTTCATTCTTTCTTTTCTTCTTTTCTTTTTTGTTTCCTTTTTTTTTCATTTATTACTGCGCGAATACATTATGTGTTCGTTGGATGTTTGCAGTAAAAAAAAGAAAAAAAAAAAATATGAAAAGAAGAACAAGAACAGATACAATTTCCTATCAAATATTCTATTCCTATTTATTGATTGAAAATTCATAAATTCGTCTCGAGAAATTACTCGTAAATTACTCGAGAACAATCGTATCAATTCGCAAGGATATAATTTAATAAATCAGTCAGAAACGAATTTTCAATCGGACGCACGTAAACTTAATTTTTTGTTCACATTTCAAGAATAAAGAATCTCGAGTTGGGATGAGAAAGATTTTAGCGCAAAGTGTGCTTGCGCACAGTTGTACGTATGTCTCTCTCTCTCTCTCTCTCTGTGTGTGTGTGTGTGTGTGCCGCAAATGTCAGAATTTAGTTGAAATCACAGGCGAATATTCGATTCGCATAGTTCCTCGATATCCTCTACGTTCTCAGCGGGAAAACTCGTACGAGAGACACGTAAATGCGAGCGAACGAACGTGGAGACGGAAAGAAAAGCTTCGAAGTCGACGAGAGAACGGGTGGAGCAAGCAAAAAGTTCTCATTTGAATTGCAGAAACAGCAACGCGAACGCGCTCGACCGATTGATTCGTCAAAGCTGAGCAATTACGTCAGAGTACTCGCGAGCAGCTGCAACGTGAAAGAGCTTCTCTATCTATCTTGGTCTCTCTTTCCTTCTCTTTTTTCTTTTTCTTCTTTTTTTCGTGGCGTCAAAACAAAAATTATATAATTAGTATCGCGAGAGAAAGAAAACTGCGTCGGTTGAAAGAGAACGATAAAAAGAAAGAGAGAGAGAGAGAGAGAGAGAGAGAGACAGACAGACAGATAGACAGACTGAGAGAAAAGACAAAATTAAATTACTAAGAGGAGTATAACGGTACAGCACGTAACATTATTTCAAAGAAGTAATTTCCGAGAAGTCGATCTTACTAACAGACGAGAAAAGAAAGAGAGAGAGAGAGAGAGAGAGAAATAAAATAACTTATTTTATACGTGTAGCAGAATCATTAGCCTTGCAAGTTTATAAAAAAGAATATTTGCGTGTATAGCGTACGTGAAAAAAAAAAAGAACAAAAAATGAATTGACAGCGGAGTACGAATTGACATCGTATGTACGAAGAAAAGGAATAATTGGGAATGCATGAATGGTCTAATAAAAATGATATGAGCAAAAAAAAAAGAAGAAAAGAAATCTAAAGGACAACATATTAGAAAACGATTAGGCAATTTGATCGCGAATTGAAACCGATCGCGATCAGAAATGATTTGTTCCATTTCCTTAATTTCAACACATTTTTCTTATTGTTATATACAAAACGTGCATCGATCCTCTCAGAATAGTAACAAAAGCATTCGCATGACTCGCAGCATCTATCCCCTCGTTTCGCGTTCAAATCACGAATTTAATCTGATTAAACCGTGGAATCGTCGGGAGAGATTCAGTCGCTATGACCAACCCGAACGAGCGGCAGGCAGGTCGCATGGCTTTGGAAAATGCGATAGCTTGGACGAAATTACAAATGCCATAAATTATGATTTAATATATCATACGGGTGGCGTCATTGCACAGGCCGGTGCTCGCTTCGCTCGCTTTAATCGCGTTCCGCTATCGCTCGATAATTCAACGCATCGAATTTGCGGTCCTACCGCGAATCGTTTTAACGATCGCTTGGAGACTTCGTGAAAGCACTTCTGTCTCTCTCTCTCTCTCTCTCTCTCTCTTTCTCTCTCTCTATCTCTCTCTTTCTTTCTCTCTGGGAATACCTACGACATAGTCATCTTTTTCTTTTTTTTTAGAATGAACTATAATACTAGAGTAAAGTTAAACATCTGTGACGTCAAATATATCTACCGTTCGATCTCGTATGTATACATAATATATATATATATATATATATATATATATATATATATATATATATAGATGTATGTATGTATATGTATGTATGTATATATATATACATATATATATAGGTACTTATTCTATCTACCTACGTGCTTCTTTTAATTTGAAGAAACCCCATAAAATGTGGTACGACACTCGAGAGTCACGTTTCGTGCTCGCAAAGCAAGAGTAGAGAAACGCTTTGTCGGCGACGAAAAAGGGATATATAAATAACTCGATCTACCTCGAGGCGTTTATCGTCTCTACGCGCTGTTCTCGTCCTCGTTGTCGTCTGAGTTTGCTGGAGGATGTTTTCCGCGTAAGATAGAAGCAGAGAAACGGAGAAAGAGAGATATTGAGAGAGAGAGAGAGAGACAGAGAGAGAGAGAGGGGGGGAGAAAGGAAAAGGAGAGAGGAAAAAAAAGGAAAAGAAAAAAGAGAAAAATGAAAAAGAGAAGTGGAAGGAAGAGCACAAACGGTACACTACCACTTGGAGTCCCATAAACAGCAAACTCAAGGCAGAGAAGCGAATTGCTTCTTGTTTGCGTCGTCGAGCTTTTCGAGGTCGAAGTCGAAGCCGTACTCGTCCTTGTTGTCGTCCTTGTCGTCGTCCTCGTCGTTGTTGTCGTTGTTGTCGTTGTTGTAGCGATCGGGAGAATGCGGCGGCGCATGTAAATCTTCGAAAGCGAGGGATTTCAAGCTCCTTGGAATTTCGATACCACGAGAGTTAACCGCTTCGACAGTCGCGAGAACGGCCGATTACGTCAGCGAAAAGCGCGACTTCTCTCTCTCTCTCTCTCTCTCTCTATCTATCTATCTATCTATCTATCTATCTATCCATCTGTCTGTCTATCTCTATCTCTGTCTCTCTCTCGTTCCCGATGTCAACCTCGAGTATCCGTTCGAGCCATTACATTTCGTTGCTAACTGTGTCGCGTCACGAGATAAGCGATAAAGTTCAAGCTCGCGTTTATCGCTCGATATATGAAAGAGACAGAGTGCGAAAGAAAGAGAGAGTGAGAGAGAGACATAGAGAGAGAGAGAGAGAGAAAGAGAGAGAAAAACGTTTCATTCGAAGCCGTTCGAAAAAGCGTGCAGACGTATCGTAGAACGCGTTACGTTTTTCGATATCTCTATACTATTTACTTGTTTCTTTAGAGAACTTATATATACATTTATACATATATATATATATATATATATATATATATATATATATACATAAATATATATATATATATATTTCCACGAGTGGAAATATTTTCAAAGTGCTCGCTACGCGTCTCGCGAATTCCTTGCTTACTTTATTTCTTCCTCCTCGCTAAAGTAAACCGAGCGAATAAATATAAAAGAGTAGTTCTCGTAGTTCTCTTCGACTGATGCGCTATCGTGTTCGAAAATCCATTTGCTATCTTCCGATCGCAGCCCCTGAAGCTCGAATGTATATATATGGTGTGTATATGTATATATATATATATATATATATATATATATATATATATATACGTATGTATGTATATATAATATATGAAAAACAACGCAGTCACATGAGTACGGCGCGAATTTTCCGAAAAATTGCCATGCGTTATAAATATCTTTCGATTCGTTCGATAGCCTCTGGACCATGAGTTTTTTCTTTTTTTTTTTTTTTCTTTTTTTTTTGTTGGCATGCATAAACAGCCTCCGTTAATCCATGAAAAATGTTATCACGAAAACAGAATCATAATACGCGTCGATGGCCACGTTATTATAATTTACGCCTGCGAGCTTCTACAATATATATTTATAAATATATACCTGTCTCACTCTCTGTATAATTTTTAGCGATTCCTCGGAGTAAGAATAAAATTATATTTCGTTCGATAAATTCGCTTCGATAAAGATCGTGATTTCGTGTTTTCTTTTTTTTACGCCTCTTTTCATATTAAATATAATATATAGCATATACTATAATATAACGATTACATTGCTTAAATATAAAGAAGATATGTACTTACTTGTATTAATATAAAATACAATATAATTTAGGTTATAACGCTTATGACTCGTACGATGTTCATCCTGCTACGATCTAATTGCGACTGATAGACGCTAAACAGAATACACAAGTACTCAAGGTTACAAAGAAGTCAATATTGTTGACCGATCACGTTATCTCTCTCGACATTTATATAAATATATTCTAATAAAAAGTAAGCCCCTAGATCAATACGAAATATTATGTTATAACTTTTTTTTTCTTTTTCTTTTTCCTTTTCTTTTTCTTTTTCTCAACGAAATTTACTTACTATCTTCCTCAACGATCCCAAAGTTGTTTCTATTCGACGACTTCGGTTTACGAAGCCGTTCTATCAATTTTTGTAAGCTATCAGCGTAACTAATCGTCCTGGTCGACAGGAGCCGTCGACTTTGTAACGTCGTTTATTCGCTGCGGTAGAAAAGAAGGCGCGTCGTCGTCGTCGTCGTCGTCGTCGTCGATGGTGACACGAAACGACGAGACTTTTCCGAAGAAACTCGTCGAGTCGATTGATCGATCGTCGTGATTCGCGAGAGTGTCTTTTCAAAGTCGGTGATTGCTTTCTCTGGCATAGATCGATACTTCATTTTGCGAGTTTTATTTCAAAACGATTATAATGATTAATTAAATCGACTATTAGTCTCGAAACTTTAAACTATTAATATCGAAAGTGAAAAACCTAAATGTAAAGTTTAAATGATTGAAAGAGAAAAATGGGGACGAAAATAAGAAAAATAAATGAGGGAGAAAATAAGAGGAGGTAGCGTAGTTCGTTATATAGGGTGGTCTCGGGAATATATAACGAAAGATCGAGAAGCGAGCCAACCGGCAAGAGTAATGCGAGCAGAGTGAGGCCGCGTAACGCTTTAAAGACTTTCAAAACTCCCGCCGTAAATTACGCGTACCGACGATTACGTCGAGTACCCAACCGTCGGCTTGCCTTTTGCTTTTCGCTTTACCCCTTTCTCTGCCATCGCTTGGTTCGTCCATTGACGAAGAAAAACGAGCCGTAAATATTAAGTTTCAAACCTCTCGGACTTTTTAATACGCACGCTCGTATACGCTCGTGCATATAAATATATATATATATATATATATATATATATATATATATATATACACATATATATATACGTATATGTACATACGTATGTATGTATTTATGTAAGCTATGAATTTCTTTATACATATAAACATGAAAGAAATAGTTCTCTCGTTTTCTCGACTCTCCTTTCGCAAAACGACGAAGAGCGAAGACATTTCCTTTTTTTCTTTTTTTATTTCCTTTTCTTCTTTTTTTATTTTTTCCATCTTCAATTTTTAATCTCGACGAGAGTAACTCGAAGGAAAAAGAGGAAAAGGTAGCGTTTTCCTCGATGTGTTTTACTTTCAATGTTATCATTTTTCTAATTCCAAATCTATTTAGTTGCTTTTATCATTTTTCTTATGTTAGAGGGATAGAAGTAGAAACGCGTCTAACTTTGTCTCAAAAAGTCTTGCGGAAAATTAATTTCGTAAGACGTGAATGTGAGAAGAGAACGAAGAGAAAAATAGAGATAGAAAAGAGAAGAGGACGCATTTCTCCAATGATTTTCCGCCACGTTTCCCTCGAAAGCCGTGACGCAGTAATTCGAAATTAATTATATTATTATTCGTTATCGCGAACGTCGAGGCATCTCTATCTCTCTGCAGTGTACTCGTCAACGTTGTTACAACATCGTAGTTGGTCGACTCCACTCTCTCTCTCTCTCTCTCTCTCTCGTCTCGTTAATAGACTTCGATCGATGAAAGCTAATTGAAAAACGGTCGATGTCCATCGGTCGCCGTATTAATTACATTATTATACCTATGTATGTACCATAGTATATTTCTACCCCAAGAGAAACAACATCTATGTTTGTCCTTTGTCTTTACGAAATGAGAGATGATGGGCTACGTTAGACACAAAGTGGAAATCGATCGAGATTACTCCAAAAAGAGAAGTTTTTGTTTTGTTTTCTTTTGTTTTAAATATTACAAGAATTTTATTATTGAACGATCTGAGAGGGGAAAAAAAATAAATCCGACGAAATTCCTTTTTTTTTTTCCTTTCTTCTTTTTTTGTAACCGACGTTTTCGTGCGATGCGATATTAAAGCATATTCGGGGAGATATGAATTTTCGCTACAAAAAAGAAAAAAGAAAAAAGAAAAAAGAAAAAAAAAATAAATAAAAAGAAAAAAATTGAAAAAAAGTGAAAAGAAAAAAGAAAAAAGAAAAGTCGGAGATCATCCTTCTTCGTTAAAACAAGCTTTCTCTAGCGATACGAATGAAACGCGACAAGCTCGCGTTTTCCGTTTCGACCGCGATTAGCCGTCTTTTTTACGCGAATCGAGCAACAGATATTTACCCCCAACCCCATTCTCTCTCGCTCGCTCTTTTCCTCCACCTCTTATTCTATCCTTCTTTTTTTTTTCTCCTTCTTCTTCTCTCCTCAACCAGCGTTCTCTTCCTACCATTCTCAACGGTGAACATCGCCGACCAACGAACGTTTTAAAATTAATACGGTTGTGGGAAGATTAAATCCGAACGTGGTTAAAGCCGAACAAAAACTTTTAATCGGAATTGAACTAATCGCATCTACCATAAAATCCGTTATAATCCGATTAAATAATTCCTACTCTCGGTAGATAGGTAGGTTAGATACGTACGTACGTACGTACGGTACGTACGTAACTATGGTAGTGATACCCTTCTTCCCTTAAATATGATGAATCTCATCCCGTTTTTTTCCTCATCAACGTTTCCTTATTGCCCATTTAATATCCTTGAGAAATTGAGCGCATCGAGACGTCTCTTTCTATATACTTATATCTTTCTCCATTCTCTATGAACAATTTACTAGGAAATTTCATGCAAACAAGAAGAATTCTTCATTAATGAATATGATAACGCCATAGGATTACACATAGTAAATATATGTATGTATTTGAACGATTCTCAAGCTATGTAAATTCTCGAATCACGTTTCGTACGCGTTGTTGTTATCCGACCGCTACGATCATACGTTTAATCGTCAGCAGATTTATCATTACTATTATTATCATCATCATCCTCATTATTATTATTATTATTATTATTATTATTATTATTATTATTATTATTATTATTGTTGTTGTTGTTGTTGTTGTTCTTGTTATTGTTATTATTGTTATTATTATTATTATTATAATTATTATTTATATGTTGTACTTAACACGCTTTATGCTAATATCCCGTTAAATATTTCATCCTGTTGCTCGTTCTCTCATAGCGGAGATCACCGTGATGATTCATTAACAACTGCTCGCTAAACTCACGGACTCGACCGAAAATACGCGCGAGCATTACGAACGATTAAAGCATCGTCATTATCTCGAGGCTTCGTTGCGAGAACGATATTTGCGCGCGAATTCAAATTCCCTTAGCCTGCGTTATAATAATAATAGTAGTAGTAGTAGTAGTAGAAGTAGTAGTTGGCGACAATGTAGTGAACGCGAGTTATAATACAAAACAACGAAATAATCCACTTTCTTTTATCTAACAAACTGTGCAATCTTCTCGGTACGCTGACCATTCTGGGTACATAGATAATACTACTCATCCATTATTGTGTTATACAAAATCGCATTATACATCCATCCTCCCGGTTAAGGATTAATGCAACGTACCTCTCTCTCTCTCTCTCTCTCTCTCTCTCTCTCTCTCTCTCTCTCTCTCTCTCTCTCTCTCTCTCTCTCTCTGTCGCAACTCTATCTATCTCCTTCTATCGTCCGAGTACGTCGCATTATAATGAACGAACGGAACGCTCGCGGGCGTAGATGGGTCGCAAATCCAATCAGATCTCGCTTTGGTAAGTCTCTGTTAGGTGAGCCATGAACGTTGAAAGTAGTTTAAACAAGGGATAAAAAATAAGAAGACAAAAACTGAATATATATATGTGTATGTATGTATGTATGTATGTATGTATGTATGTATAATATTTGTGGATAGGATATCGCAAAGAAAGAATATGCAAAAGAAGAGGAGGAAAGAAGAATGAGGAGGAGGAGAAGTCACTGGTGGTTTTGCTTCTTCTCGTTTATTTCTTTCATAACGCGTCAAATTAGAGCCAGGGAAATGGCGTAAAAAAGCAAACGAGGAAGAAAACGGAAAAAGTGGCATGTCGAATAAATCGTATTTCCTTTCGCGTTTTATCAATGCGATTCTTCTTTCTTCTTTCGTACGATATGTTTCCTCCATGGGAACGTTAGCTTTCCGCGAGATATCGAAAACGAATCCATTGAAAATCGATCTCTGGTCGTTGCCTCGATAAAACTTGTGCCGTTACAAGGATACAACGTGTAACATACATATATGTTTGACATATATATATACATATGTATAGGTAATTCACGACTATCGCGAAGGACGTTTACTTAAAACTTATATGTATGTGTATTGCTCGTGACTGTCATCGGGATGGACAGCGATAAATATATTGTAACATCTAAGTACATATATATACATATACGTATACACATGACATATATATGTATACCTTGTCATAAACATGTACATAAATATATATATATATATATATACATACACACGTATAAAGCTTAAGTAACAGTAGACGAGGGCTATCAAATTATAAAGTTTATACCGTAATATCGTGGGGAGAAGAGAAATTTGAAGAAACGCGATACAATTTACCGTTAGGGTAAATCCGTCTAATACCAAGCTATTTTGTGAACGAGATAAACCGTATCAATTTACTCCCCCTTCCAAAAAAAATATCAATATCTTGGTTTTATATTATGAACAAACGATTACGTTCCAATTCCATTTTGGAATTGGCAACCAATCGTTTTCCATTGATACGATCGAACTTTATAATATCAATTAGTAAAGTCTATATATATATATGTGTGTGTACACATACGCATACACATACTTTTTATTTTGAAATATGTTGATAACTGGGTGAAGATAATGCGTCCCTAATGAAGTTTTTCCCTCTAATCACTAATAATCGAATAAAACGTGTTTTATACGAGCTCATTATACGATATAATATGAAAGTTTGTAAAAAAATTTGAAGAAATAAGTATCGAATATTCGCCATTATTTTCTTTGAA